GGGTTTCCAATGCTGTAAATCTTTACAGAAGTAAATTGACTCATCTTCATCCCACAAAGCAGCTGATGGGTTTAAACCACTGACCTTGGGGTTAGCAGCCAAATGCTTTATCTACTATGCCACCAGAGCTCTTTTCTGTAAAGATTACAGCCTTGGAAACCCTCTGGGGCAGTTCCACTCTGTCCTCTAGGGGCACTGTGAGTTGGAATCAACTCCATGGCAGTGGGTGTGGTTTGGGCTTTGCTTCTGTGAAGATTGACAGCCTTGGAAACCCTCAGGGCAATTCCATTCTGTCCTCTAGGGGCGCTGTGAGTCAGAATCAACTCAACAGCAATGAGTCTTTTGTTTTTTTTCCTGCCCGTAGGGTCCTACCACCCAGCTGGAAGCTATCCCACTGATATTTCAAATACCAGCAGGTATCTGAACTACCTGAAATGGTGGACAGGTTTCAGTGGCGCTTCCAGACCAAGACAGACTAGGAAGAAAGGCCTGGTGATCTCCTGAAAAACCATCCATCGAAAACCCTGTGGAGCACAGTTCTACTTTGACACGAGTCACGAGCCACCAGACTCAGAGCTGACTCAACAGCAGTGGGTAGTGAGTGATAGGCAGGTTGCAGGGGGACGTGGGGATAATGGTTTTTAAAGGCCCAATACAACTGAGCACATGGCCCAGGACTTCCCACCTGAGTCTGCCCTGCACCTGCCCACCCAAGGTCCTACCTTCTCGCAGCACCACACGCTCGTAGGGAGGGTAGTGACCCTGCTTGGTCAGAGCTGACAGGTCCTCGCGGCTCTGGTGGGTGGTCTTCTTGGCCCCCCGACGAAGGCCCCGAAGCCGCCAGAACTCAGCACGGGCATTGGAGCCGGCAGAGGAAGTGGGCCCAGCCCCCACGGCCCTCTGGGCAGCCTCCAGACTGGCCAGCTGCTCTGCCCTGGGCAGAAGAGAGAGGTCAGTGGGCACCGTAGTCCACACAATGTCCCCGCAAAGTGCCAGAGCCTGTGAGTTATGATACCTTCCGTGACAACAGAGGCTGTGCAGCCGTGATGAAGGTAAGGAGCTTGCAATGGGCCATGATCCTAGCTCACCAAGTGACCCCATTGTAATGACCCTCTGTGCGACCCCTTGTGGTACACACTGGAACTGTCCTCCACAGGTTTTCTTGGCTGTCATCTTTACGGAAGCAGATCCCAGGGT